AGTTCATGTTCCGGATCTTTACCTTGTTGATCTCTACTCATTGTGCATGTGCTTTCCACTAGTCTAGTCTCCCATTGTCAAGTTCATGTTCCGGAGCTTTTTCTTAGTTGAACTCTTCTCCTTTGTGCATGTGCTTTCCACTAGTCTAGTCTCCCATTGTCAAGTTCATGTCCTGACCCTTTACCTTGTTGATCTCTACTCATTGTGCGTGGGCTTTCCACTAGTCTAGTCTCCCATTGTCAAGTTCATGTTCCGGATCTTGACCTTGTTGATCTCTACTCATTGTGCATGTGCTTTCCACTAGTCTAGTCTCCCATTGTCAAGTTCATTTTCCGGATCTTTTACTTAGTTGAGTTATTCTAGTTTGTGCATGTGCTTCCACTAGTCTAGTCCCTAATTGTCAAGTTCATGTTCCGGATCGTTACGTTGTTGATCTCTACTCATTGTGCATGTGCTTTACACTAGTCTAGTCTCCCATTGTCAAGTTCATGTTCCGGATCTTTACCTTGTTGATCTCTACTCATTATGCATGTGCTTTCCACTAGTCTAGTCTCTCATTATCAAGTTCATGTTCCGGATCTTTACCTTGTTGATCTCTGCTCATTGTGCATGTGCTTTCCACTAGTCTATTCTCTCATTGTCAAGTTCATGTTCCTAATTTTTACCTAGTTGATATCTACTCATTATGCATGTGCTTTCCACTATTCTAGTCTCTCATTGTCAAGTTCATGATCCGGATCTTTACCTTGTTGAACTCTTCTCTTTGTGCATGTGCCGTCCACTAGTCTAGTCTCTCATTGTCAAAGTTCATGTTCCGGATCGTTGCTTAGTTGAGCTCTTCTCTTTGAGCATGTTTCTTCCAACTCATTGTCAAGTTCGTGTTCCAGATCTTTACCTTGTTGATCTCTTCTCTTGGTGGTATGTGTTTTCCATTGATCTAGCTTCTCATTGTCATGTTCGTGCATAATACTCCACGATTTACTTAGTCAACCTTTTTCTATGGGACGGATGATCGATGTTTGGTTGCTGCTACGGGGAGCTGATTTGATTAGAAGGTCTTTTTTTTTTTTCCTCTCTCTCTCTTCCTCTCCCCCGCCACATCTCTCTCTCTCCCTCTCCTTCTCTCTCTCCCCCTTTTTTCCCCCCTCCTTCTCTAGTCCTCTCTTTCCCCTCCCCCCTTTTTTCACTCGCCTCCACTCTACCTCTCTCCCGTCCCCTCACTTGGCATATGACTAACCCTTCTCCCCTCACTTGGAAAACATTGTCAGGGTACGGACGGTGATCGTAATCAGACCTCACTTGGTGGAGAAAGAGGACAAGGGGAGGATAGCTGGTCCCTTGTGCCATCAAGAAGGCAAAAGAAAGGACGTTTGAAAAAGTGGGAGAAAGGCGGGGTCCGGAAGGAAGCATAAGTTGAGAGAGAGGTCAGTTTGACTCAACCATTTCCCCGATTGCATGACTATGAGAAGAGGACGGGCTGATTGAACAACAAAAAGGGAACAAAGCACAGCCAAAGAGCATGGAAAGGATAGGCATGTGGGAAGGGCTATGTGTTGACTCCCAACGGGGGACATTGTATGGATCTTCTTGCTTGTGTGGGACAGATGAGTAATGGCTAGAAATGCCTTGAGCGGGATAGGGGCGAGAGGAACTGGGCATCAAGAGGAAAAGGAAAAGGGGACGAAGGGGCTATGGGACCCTTGACATATAGTCAACCCATGAAAATGACTTTTGCGCTTGAGACTTGGAAGTGTGATCGAGAGTGCAATCGTGCCGAGAAAAATGTGATGTTGTGAGTGCATGCATATGAGGACCCCGAAAAGACTAAGGGACCTACTTCAATAAGGTGGGAAACAAATTGTGAGATCCGATGAATGGGTAGAGGCGAGGGAGAGAACGGCTCTGCCGCACCCCGATGACGCCATATAGCCAAAATGCTTAGGGAAATGGTGCGTGGCCTAAGGATGACGCTTAGCCTACGCACAAGAGAAGAGAAACACTCAAAGTATCCTTGGACTGCCTGCGTATTGGAAGGAGCAATTGCATGAGAACATCACAAAGAATCAAAAGAAAATCAGCGTTGCGGGACGACCAGCGAGACTACCACCCGGCGTGAGGGCTGAGCTACATCCCCAATGTCAAAGCTCTTCGCGCGATGGCCCACCCCCATCCATCTCAAAGCACTAGGTGGGGGTGACCTCGAGACGAACGGCCCGCGGCCCGAGCATGAGCGTGGGCGGGCCGAGCCAACTGGGACCCGCAGTGGGGTCGACTAAGGCTCGAAAGTCTACTGGGGCTTGGCCCTACAACGTAACAGAGAGCCTAGAGTAGGACTGTAATCTACCATAGTCAGTTCTTTTCGAAGCTTCTGTGCAGAACTAATCAGAATAGAGTTAGACTATGTGTACAGTTTGTGTAGGTGTTGTTGATGCCGCTTGACCGGTAGTCTAGGTAACTCACCGGACATTAATTTATATTGTTTATTTTTAGAACCGGTCAGACGTATGCTGCGGTAGGTCTCAAAGAGGACTCTAGTGCAAACAAGGTTTGCCTAGCTGATGAGTGGATCAGCTGGGTATAGAGGTTCAACTGACGAGAGGAGGATAACAAGGCTATCATCGCTTAGAATCCCTAGACTGTTCCAGACCCTACAACCGGGAGAAGAGAGAAGACTAAGGGCCAAAGCTAGGGCCCGTAGTCTTGAGGCTGCAAGGGAAGCAACAGCGACCGAAGCAAGAGCGTTGGCAGCAGCTAGCGAGGTAGCAATGGCTACCGCTTCAGCAACATCTGCAGCAACCTCTGGTCAGGGTGTGTCGCCCAACTCGACCAGTTCGCAGTCAGTTTCCAATACGTCAGGGGGCGACGCTAGTCAGATGGTGGGTGTGCAGTCTAACCCGCTGCCTCATCTTATAAGGGAACAGATGGAGCTCCAACAGGTAGAGAGGATCTGCCTAAGGCTAGAAGAGGAACTCAACCAGGCTACTAAGAGAGAAAAATAAATTAGTGAGAGAAGAGCCAGACTAGAGAGTAGGGAGGCAGACCTAGCTGCACTAGAGGGTTTAGATGACTCAACCCTTAACTCTACCGGAAAGATTCTTAAGGCAAGCGTCCTGTCCATGGAGGCGTACATGGAGAGCAAAATGGACGCCATGCAGGACACCCTGGACCAGATTTTGCAGGCCCTACGAAGGCCAGGGATCCGGACAACAACTTTTCCATCGCTTCCATTATCAGCGATGACAGACCCCTATGCCGCTCAGTCTGGACAGCAACCAAACGGTACATCAGCAGCAGCTCTATCTCAGACTGCTATTTCTTCATCTTCTGGTCCAGCGACTGGAGCTACACCACAATCGCCATTTGTCCCGCCAGCGGGACAGCAATTACCTTGGTACCCCAAGGACCCCCTGAAACCACCTCCAACCTTCTCAGGAGACAAGAAGGATGAGGCTCTCGACACGTGGTTGAGAATGGTGCCAGTGTGGGTGAGGGCAAAGAGGACATTTGTAGAGGAGGAGGTGATAATTGCTGCATCCTACTCAGAGGGTTCAACAGCTCGCTGGCTAAATGGTTTGGTTGCTTCAAAGGGTTTCGGTAGGAACATGAGTGATTGGGCTCAGACTCACACCCTAGAAAGCTTTATGGAGTTAGTGGAGGCTCGATGGCACAACCCTCAGCAGTCGCAAATTGCCACTGATGGGCTATTGAAACTTGACTCTAGGAAGTACAAGTCATTGTGAGAGCTCACCATGACCGTTGAGCGTCTGATTGTCGTTTCAGGAGTGGAGTACAATCCACATGTCTTGTTGACCATGTTTTTGAGATGTCTTCCCACATACATCAAGAACTTACTAGCCAGTGAGGCTCGTCTAGAGTATCACACATTTGAGACATTCAGCAAGAAGGCCCTAGACTTAGAGGCTACGTTGGGTGGTGCTCAAACCCCCACTACGGATGGAAGAAAGAAGAAGACTCCACAAGAATGGAAGAAGAAGGGTAGTCGATTGATGATGGTTGATTCCGATGGGAATCAAACTGAGATTGATGATGTTTCTAAGCTTGTGGAGGGTTCAGAGTTAGACGGCGAGGAGAGTGCTGATGGTAGCAACCTCGCTGCCGTAGTTAAGACTAAGGCAGGTGGTCGCGGCAAGAGCGGTCAGCAAAGGAGTCAGGGGCAAGCCGCCAACCCAAACAAAATAGTTGCTTGGGTTAGGGCCGGTTTGGATCAGGAAGTGTGGCGCGACCATTGGCAGTGGGGTGCTTGCAGTACGGCCATACGCAGTTTAAGTGCAAGAACGCGAAGGTCTCGCAGAAGATCCCTCCTAAGGGTGGGTCCCTTCTTCTCAGTCTGGGGCCTCTACGAGCTCCAACTCGGGAAACACTTAGGGCCGGTAGAAGTTGTGGCTGCTTCTACTCTCGTTGAAGCGGGTGATGTACCCTCCCCGTTTTAAGAGTTGGCCGAAGCTATTGACTCCTTAGTCACCCCGCAGATGCATCCGGATCCAACTATACTCTGTACGTTGGATGTGTCTGAAGCCTTAGAGGACCTTCAAGGTGAGCGGTCAGCAAGGGACCCTCGTGAGTCCTGGGTGGCACTAAGTAGAGGTCCTTGAGGGGAGCACTTCGTTGTGGAAGTTGGTGTGGGTGGTTGCAAGTGCGGCGCCTTCGTAGACATTGGCTCCAGGCGAAACTTCATAAGTCGCGACTGTGTTGAGAGATTGCGCCTAAAGGACAGGGTGCAATGCCTGAGTAGACCAGTAGCATCTTTACTCTGGCCAACAAAGAGCGCATGTTGGTGGAAGACTATGTTAAGGACGTAGTCTGCACGTTCTCCTACCCAGGAGGAGAGATAAACCATAAGATATCATTCCTGGTGAGCGACGATTTGCCCTTTGACATGTTGTTGGGCATGTACTACCTCGAGGTTGCCAAGCCCCAGTTTGACTGGGACAAGAAGGTGTTGAAGCACGAGTTGCCTAATGGGAGGACCGTTAGACTAGCTAAGTATAAAGCCAGTCGGGTAATAGAGTCCAATGGGTGCTTATGCGCACCTGCCTTCTATAATGTAATGACCCGCCATAACACAGATTGAGAACACTGTTGATTTTTGAAGTTCTGCCGATGGAATGGATGCCTTGCTGAGATTCCCACATTCTGCTGTGTTTTCTAAGTCTATATGTGTGTGTGCCTGTTGACTTGCGTGCCTGTCTGAGTACTTGTCGGCATGAGTGTGTGTGTGACCCGCAAGGGTACNTGTGTTTTCTAAGTCTATATGTGTGTGTGCCTGTTGACTTGCGTGCCTGTCTGAGTACTTGTCGGCATGAGTGTGTGTGTGACCCGCAAGGGTACTTGCTTGTTTGGCAGGCCCGTAGGGCCGGTACTTACCTGTGGTCGTGGCATTGAGGGTTGCAGCAGGGAAAAAACACTCAAGTAGCGGAGCCAGGGGCCCGCGGTGCTTAGAGCAGCGGAAAAACACTCATGTAGCAGGTAGGCCGGTAGCGCACCCAGTAGCAGTAGATGTGCCGGGTACTCGAGGCCGAGCAGAAGAAGACAAAGTTGGCATTTTTAGAGGCCCAATAGCAGTAGGCTAGGTCTAGGCCTGTACCAGTCCATCCAGTCTGAGTCTAGAGCCTGCACGGGCAATATCAGAGTCTGCAATGATGTTTCCCTCCGAAAGGGAGGAGGTACCGGTTGCTTGGGAGGCCGAGCGGCCTAGAAGTCACCGCCTAGGAGGCAAGCAGGCCGCTATGTCAAGAGGCCGAGGCAAGAGCTCGGCCTCATTCTTCAGTGTGCGAGTTGGGCGTCAGGCTGTTGGAGTGCTGGTTGGAAGAGCGCTGGCTGCTACAGCGCTGCTGGGAGGAAGAAGCCGGGAGCTTCCACCTCGACTATGGTGGAGCTCGACCGGTAGGAGGAGGAGGGAGAAGGGGACCAAGGGGGAGAGTGGCGAGGTACCTACCTGGCTATGGTGGACATCATCTTCATCACCTTGCTAGGCGCTGCATCTGGAAGGCCCCGTTGGGGTAGTGCCGCACCAAGGAAGCTCGGGGTAGAGTCGGGCATGGCGGTTCAGTGAGCAGCGACATAGCTGCTTGAAGCGGCAGCGACATAGCTGCTTTGGGTTGTCCTTTGGACAGGAGGCTGAAGCCTCAGTAGTCCGCCATAGCCTCGGCCTGCAATGACGAGGAAGGAGAAGGGTGGCCATGGCTATGGTGGACCTCATGTTGTGCCTGCAGTAGAAGTGGGATTCGGACATTGATTCTGGTTCAGCCATTCAACATTATTATTGTTATTTCTTGTTTGAATAAGAGGGGAGGAGATGAGGAGGAGGAGATCGGTTGGCGAAGAAGAAGAGCTTTGTCATTGGCCTATGTCGGAGTACATCATCTTCTTCTTCTTCGCTCCCTCTCTCTCCTCTCAAGTTCATTCATTTCTTTTTGCTATTGGACCAGTGTTCTACCATTGGAACTATTCTCCTCACAAAACAAAGTGTGATTGGTTTATGGAGTTTGCACCTATTTGTGTGTATTTGGTCATTAGTTTACTACTTTCTTTGATCTTAATAAACCAGTTACAGGAACAAAYAAGCTCTTGAAAGAAATTCATCCTTGCCACAAGCTTTCAACAATGTAGTTGTTATCTGCCATTACGTGCGACTATCTCTATTGTGCTTTTATCCAAAAAAAAATATTTCATTTTTCTGGCACCTTATCCTAAATGCAACGAAGTTGCCTCTACCAAGAAAATTCGGGAACGCCTTCAACTTTTTTGTCATGTGCCGGCCCGAAGTGTGGCGTCGGAATCAATATTTATTTTGATTTTTAATAATATATAAAAAAAAATTGAAACCTCTTCCCAAACTGTATAAGCTTTTTTCAAAGTATACAGCTTTCAAGATGTCTTAGATTTAATCGATTTTTACTTCGAAATTTGCCAGGATCGTAACAACTATTATAAACAGAACCAAGAGGAAGGAATGTACTTGGTCTATGTCTCTGAGAATGGGAAGGCCGTTAAAACACCCCCAGAGATGGAGACCATCATCGCTAAGTACCCTGATCTGTTCGAGGAGCCTACAGGAGTCGTAGACAGGGAGGTTGTCCATGCCATAGAGATCATACCGGGTAGCAAGACACCTAAAGGGAGGATCTATAGGATGGCTCCGACCGAGTTGGATAAGCTTCGGCAACAACTGAAAGAGCTCACAATGAAGGGTTGGATTCAGCCTGTACGGGCAATATCAGAGTCTAGAGCCTGTACGGGCAATATCAGAGTCTGCAATGATGTTTTCCCTCCGAAAGGGAGGAGGTACCGGTTGCTTGGGAGGCCGAGCGACCTGGAAGTCACCGCCCAGGAGGCAAGTAGACCGCTATATCAAGAGGCCGAGGCAAGAGCTCGGCCTCATTCTTCAGTGTGCGAGTTGGGCGTCACGCTGTTGGAGCGCTGGTTGGAAGAGCGCTGGCTGCTACAGCGCTGCTGGGAGGAAGAAGTCGGGAGCTTCCACCTCGGCTATGGTGGAGCTCGACCGGTAGGAGGAGGAGGGAGAAGGGGACCAAGGGGGAGAGTGGCCAGGTACCTACCTGGCTATGGTGGACATCATCTTCATCACCTTGCTAGGCGCTGCATCTGGAAGGCCCCGTTGGGGTAGTGCCACACCAAGGAAGCTCGGGGTAGAGTCAGGCATGGCGGTTCAGTGAGCAGCGGCAGAGCTGCTTGAAGCGGCAGTGACATAGCTGCTTTGGGTTGTCCTTTGGACAGGAGGCTGAAGCCTCAGTAGTCCGCCATAGCCTCGGCCTGTAATGACGAGGAAGGAGAAGGGTTGCCATAGCTATGGTGGACGTCATGTTGTGCCTGTAGTAGAAGTGGGATTCAAACATCGATTCTGGTTCAGCCAATCAACATTATTATTGTTATTTATTGTTTGAATAAGAGGGGAGGAGATAAGGAGGAGGAGATTGGTTGGCAAAGAAGAAGAGCCTTGTCATTGGCCTATGTTGGAGTATATCATCTTCTTCTTCTTTCTTACTTCTTCTTCTTCTTCTTTCCCTCTCTCTCCTCTCAAGTTCATTCATTTCTTTTTGCAATTGGACGACATTGTACTTTCTGATGTATGAATACTTCAAAATTTGCCAGGATCGTAACATTGGTATCAAAGCGGATTCTACTTGCTGGCGAGAGTTGACTTTGCTGTAACCCTAACCCTCTTGGTAAGGGCTAACCACTTAGGGTTAGGGTGGAAGTTAGGGTTATGTGGGGCAGCGTGGTAAAGGGAAGCTGCTCCCACCTGGCAGGGCCGTGTAGGGTAGACACTAGACCCGGCCAGGTTGCTTGAGTGCATGTTTGTGGTGGCGAGACACAAGGTGGGACTTCGTGATGCAACTTGAGAAAGGCGATAGTGAAGGGCACCTACGACTTGAATCTGGACTTCAAGGAAGACGAGGAGTGACTTTAGGGCGCCCCTCAAGTTAGGCGAGCTTGAGGGTGGCAGCCATATCTGCACCTACGGACTGCAGGTTGCTGCTTTGATCGTCAACATCGACGGGGGATCCGACTTTGTACTTTGGGGTAGATGTTGACCCTCCTAGATGATAGGACACTAGTGTAGAGGATGCTAATTGGGTCAGGAGGACTATGTGAGAGGGGGGTGAGTTCTTTCATCTCAAGAGCCCAACCACTCAGGTAAGTGTCGTGCTGCCAGGGTGCCCATGTGTGTGTGCATGGAATTGACTGCCTGTTGGGGTTTTCTGGGTTCTTCTTCCATCCTCCATAGTCTTGATTGTGTGTGAGGTGTGTGAACTGCTTACGCACCTGACGAGTGAATGGAGTATCTTGCTTGCCATGCTATATCTCTCTACAGTGCTTTGTTTAATTCATTCTGAACGGCTGTAGTGTGTAGGTTCTTTCTGGGGCTTAATTTCGTTTTTCAGTTCGGTAGGGGCAAAAAGTAGGTCTTTGTGGAACTCTTGTTGGTTGGGACTCGGTTTTGACTCCACTGGGACCATTTGGAACTCAGTGGGACCGGGCCCAAACAAGAAGGGCGCCTCAAGCCCAAATCTGTTGACGTCACTTACCTCACTTTATATCTGATTAGGACTTGGAGTTCATGCTTTCGGACCAGGACACTCACTGCTGAGGGGATCTCAACTAAGATGTTTTATCAGACTTTACCGCACGATCCGCCGCCTGACTCGCACCTTGGACACCACTCAATTCTCTCTTGCATTTACGTAGTACACTTTGAATTTGATTTGCTGTGTCTTCACGGAGCTGAGTTCGACTAGGGTTGAGAGGACCTCATACGGAGTCGGATCAGACTGTGTGGCGGAATTTGATCTCTCTGATCTTTTATTTTTTTGTTGTTTTGACTGCTCTCCAGTCCAAATGAATTGTCGCTCCGGCTAGGAGTTCTACCTTCTCTTCTGATTGATTTGAAGCTGTTTCTTTCATTGGGTTCGTTAAATGCCTGCGTCTACACAATCGCAAACGAGAGAGAGAGAGAAGAGAGAAGCTTCTGAGTGTTGCTCTTGAGGGAGTGAGGAGAGGGAAGAGGAGTGTTCGTCCCAGAAGTGTGAGGAAGTACGGACCCCTCTTCAGAGACTTATTGACACCCTCATCCTTCATCATGGCATCTGCAGCAGAATGGAAGCTGCAAATGGACACTGCCCCTGAGGCAAAAAAAGCACAGTACCAATTCTTTTATGAAAAAGCATTGAAGAGGGAAGAGGAAAAGAAGGAAAAGGAGAGGGAAGACAAAGGCTCATGAAGCCGTCTTCAGTACCGTGCCCTCCTTAACTGATGCTGAGGTAGAAGAGAAGACTGTTCCAGTCCTCAGGGCCTTAGTAGAAGTCCGGGCTGTTGAAGACTATACTGGCCAACTTGCAAAGGTGTTCGACGAACTCAAGAAGTTGCGTGAGGATATGGCCCGGATGGTGCAGCAGCACCGTGACCAGCTGCAACAGTTTGCTAACTTGCAGCCGGCCCAAAACGTCTTTCCGCCTGCTTACCTTGCTTAGAGTGTTGCGTGTCTGTCTGTTCTTGCCCCTCTAACTGCTGTCTCTTATACACATCTAGATGTGTATAAGAGACAGGATATGGCCCGGATGGTGCAGCAGCACCGTGACCAGCTGCAACAGTTTGCTAACTTGCAGCCGGCCCAAAACGTCTTTCCGCCTGCTTACCTTGCTTAGAGTGTTGCGTGTCTGTCTGTTCTTGCCCCTCTAACTGTGTCTTCTTCTTCTTCCTCCTCTTCTTTGAGTGTGGCCAACAGCCTGACCGGATCTGCTGCAGGTCCAGACCCCGCTGTTGTTGCTGCTGCTGTTGCAGCGGCAAGTGGCAGTGCAGGGCATTCTGGAACTGTTGCAGCCCCGAATTCGGACCCAGCAACCGTTGGTCCTAGCTGCAACTTTCCTTACATGGATAGAAAAGCGGCACAAATTTCGTCTAAATACGACGGAAAGGACGACATTGAATCATGGATCAGCTCTATGCGATCCTACTTTGATGTGCCGGGGACATTCCCGGTTACTCAGTCGTCGGTCCTAGGGACCAATGTGGAACCCGCCGTAAGGGGTTTCTTAGAAATCCAAGCGGTGCAAGCAGGCTATAAAAGAATAGACCTGAACAAATGGTTGAAGGCTACGCCTGTAGCCACACTCGAGGAACTCTTGATCAAATAGTATGTTGATCCACATGATGCAGCCAAAGCTAGACTTAAGCTTGACAAGCTCAAGCACAACAAGTGGACCGACACCGTGCATAGTCTGCAGTAGTACGTTAGTAAACTTTTTGCTACTCCTGATTTGGAGATGTCTGCGCAGTCTTGCTTGGATGTGATTAAAGGTACGGTCCCCTCTACTACAACACATCGCCTGGGGCTCAGACTTAGAGCGTATACAAATTGGCTTACCCTCATGCGGGACTAAGTCAAGCTGGAGGCACAAGACCTCCCGGGTGGATCGAGTGGCAAAAAGGCCACCGGCCGCAAACGGTTTCCAAGCCGCAACCGTTTTTCAGCGCACGATCTGCTTGAGGATGACGAGGAGACCTTCGCAGAGGATCCTTCTCTTGATGACGATCAAGAGCAAGGCTGCGAGGCATCTTGCTCTTCGTCAGCTCATGAGTCTGAGTATGTATATGACAAAGAATCCATGAATGCCTTCAAGAAGACTGCCTTTAAAAGTAAGGGACCAAGGACCACAATGAAGAACAATACTAACACCATTCTCCTTCCCAAGGGAGCGAAGATTCCACCCAAACCGGAAGATCCTGCCACAAAACCATGGGTAGATCTCCGGATAAGTGAAACTGAGTGGAAACAGATGGTGAAGAAAGGGGTTTGCCTGCATTACACCAAACCGGGACATTCAGTCCAACATTGCTTCAGATTGCAGCAAAGAAACCAGCGATGGGGGTAGAGACATCATCAGCACGCTCTACAGACGGAGAAGCTGATTAAGTAAGTGCAAATCCTTCATTGGATTCAGATCCCACTCAGCAAACCTCTCCTGAGACCCCATCTGATGTTGATTCCAAGGCTGAGAAAGTACACATCCTATATAAGGAGCCTTGGGTGGAGTCTGAAGAAATCGACTTTCATTCTCTCCTGTCGCGCTGGGCTCACATGATGCAAGAACGAGCGTAAGGGAAAACGAAGTTGATCTTCTTCAAACTCCGCATTAATGGTCGTTACATCCGTGCATTGGCTGATTGTGGCGCAACCGCTAACTACTTCTAACCACATGACATTCGTAAGGCACGCTTGGGAATAAAGCAGGTGACTTTGCAGAATCCTTGTTGGACCCAAGTGGGCAACCAAGAGGTTGTCACATCTACGCATGCAGTCAAAGGTGTGCGCACTACCTTTGATGCAGACCACACAATCACGCATGAGTTGAATTTCTATGTTTTTGATCAGCGCCCCTTCGACGCGGTGATTGGCTTGGGCTGGTTGCAGGCCCAATGTGAAAGAACCACGTGGAAGGACTCACAGTTCATGGTCAAAGATGCCATGGGAATAAAGTGTCCAGTCCTCTTGGATGAACCGCACGAGTCCCAAGTAACTTTTCTCAATGCAATGCAATTATGCAAAAAGTGGCACAGGCCCAAAGTTGATGAGCAAATGTATATAGCCTTTGTTAGGCCTGCTCATGTGCCTTCTATTTTTGTTGTACATAATGATTCCACTTTGCCTGTCGTTTCTACTTATGAGGCAACTACTTCTACCTCTACTAAATCTACTTCTAGTCCAAACGACTCTGCTTCAAATCCTGTTGTTTTGGCTGCACCGATGCAATCCAGGATGCCTGCACCTGAATGTGATGATCCACGTCCGGAGATCCCATCAGAAATTCGCAACCTTCTGAACTGATTTCCTGAAGTCTTGGCTGAACCGCGTGGAGTTCCCGTGCGTCCGGTCCGACACAAGATCGAGTTGATAGAAGGTAGCACTCCTCCAAAAGGCTGTGTCTATCGAATGGGCTCAGGCGAATTGGAAGAGTTGCGAAGACAGATTGATGACATGATTGAGAAAGGATGGATCAAGCCAAGTGAATCTGAATTTGGTGCACCGGTTCTGTTTGTCCTTAAGAAAGGAGGCAAACTACGGATGTGTATCGATTACCGCGGACTGAATAGAATAACAAGAAAGAATGCATATCCTTTGCCGCGTATTGATGATTTGCTTGATGCCGCAGGTGGGTGCAAGGTCTTCAGCAAGATCGATCTAAAGTCTGGCTACCACCAGATTGAAGTCGACCCTGCAGACCAACATAAAACTGCATTCAAAACTCGCGATGGGCTGTGCCAGTTTACTGTCATGCCCTTCGGCCTCACGAATGCCCTTCGGCCTCACGAATGGACAAGGTGTTCCGGGATCAGATCAATTGATTTGTTGTTGTTTATCTGGATGATATACTAATCTTCAGCAAGTCGATGGAGGAACACATGAGACACCTTGAGGAAGTGTTACAGATCCTCAAGGATGCGCAACTCCATCTCAACTTGGAGAAATCTGAGTTTGGGAGGGACAACATCATCTACCTTGGACATCGGTTGTCTGTTGCAGGCCTAGAGCCCGAGGCAACCAAAGTTGAGGTCATCCGCAACTGGCCTCAACCGGCCAATGTCCACGAGTTGCGTTCTTTTCTTGGTCTTGCGTCGTACTACCGTAAGTTTGTACCCAAATTCTCTATCATCGCCCGTCCGCTGTCCTAGTTGACAAGTAAGAATGTGTCTTACACATGGGATGGGGAATGCACAACAACCTTCCAAGCGTTGGAGGCTTTGGTGAGTCATATGGTGCTCCGCATTGCAGATCTCAAACTTACATTCGTAGTAACTACGGATGCAAGCTTGTATGGGATTGGTGCAGTGCTGCAGCAAGATGACGGCGATGGCTTACGTCCGCTTGAATATTACAGCAAACGCATGCTCAGTCACAAGGTAGCTGCCTCCACTTACATGCGAGAACTCTACGCCTTGAGAGAGGCGCTAGATCATTGGAAACACTACCTCTTGGGTCGTCATTTCAAAGTGTTCTCAGATCACGAGACTTTGAAATGGATTCAGACACAGATTAATCCATCAACCACATTGACCCGCTGGCTGCATCAGATTGATGTGTATGATTTTCAACTTAAGCACAAGAAAGGTTGTTACAATCGCGTTGCGGATGCTTTGTCTCGCCATCCTGAGTACATGACTTGCCTTGTGGGTTCCTGTGATCTCCGTAAGAACTTGAAGGAGGAACTCGTTCAGCACACTGCCAAGGACCCGGAACTCAGTCCCGTCCTTGAGCAGATTCGGGCTGACCCTAGCAGTCGGCCTGATTTCCATGAATGTAAGGGCTTACTTTTCCGACGTTACAGGAAGCACGATCGACTGTGTGTACTCACCCATGAGCTGATCCTTACTCACTTCTTGGACTTGGCTCATGGCCGGAGTGGACACTTCGGTTTTGAGAAGACATACGGAAGTCTGTTGCAAAAGTTTATATGGCTTGGATTGAAAGGAATGACACGAAAGTTTGTGGCTGAGTGTGAAGTCTGTCAACGCATCAAACCGTCTCGGCAGAAGCCCTATGGGTTGCTGCCTCCTCTCCCTCTTCCTGATGGCCCGGGTGAGTCTCTTTCCATCGACTTCACAGACATGGGGAAGAAGAGTAGGAATGGATATTCGCAAGTAATGGTGATTGTTGACCGATTTTCAAAATTTCAAAATTTATGAATCTGATTCCATTACCACCTTCATAAGAAGTACATTCTACAGTGTGGGCCCCCGAAAACTCTCGTGAGTGACCGGGACACTAGGTTCATAAGTGCAGATTGGAAGGACTTCACCTCCCAGATCTTTGACATCAAGCTCAAGATGACATATGATCGACATCACGAAGCCAATGGGCTGGCCGAGGAGATCAACCAGACTGTGATCCAACTTCTCCGAGCTCTAATTGTGCCTGATCAGAACTCTTGGGATGAGGAGTTGCCGACTGTGCAGGGGTTGTACAACAACTCCATACACTCCTCCACCGGGATGACACCTAACTGGCTGCACCTGGAGTGGAAAATTCGCAATCCTCTATCCTATCCGTTTCCTGAACAGCCACCTGGCTTGACACCTGGCCAGCCAGGCTACCGCGCTAAGTTTGATCGTTTGCTCAAAGTTGCAATCGCAGCTATGGAAAGGCGACCCAGTGCCATGATTAAGCATGCAAACAAAAAGCGCCAGCCTGACCCTTTCACAGTGGGAAGTTATGTCTGGGTTAAGATGTCTGAGTTTTCTAAAGAAGGTGGTGTATCACGGAAGCTTCTTCCTCAGTACTACAGTCCGTGGAAGGTGCTGAACCGAGTAGGAGATGACTCGTTTGGTCCTTCTTACACAATCGACGTGCCTACTCATCTGCGCACGTACCCAATCTTTCATGCGTCGAAGTTGTTTCCGTATGAACCACCTGAAACTTCTCCGTATCGAGAATCAATGATTCCCTGCGCAATAAATGATGGTCACGAGGTTGATAGAATCGTCGAGCACAGTGGAAAGGGAAGAAACAGACAATACAAAGTCCATTTTTTGTACCACCCGTTGAATGACTTTTACTGGATCGCGAGCACAGTGGAAAGGGAAGAAACAGACAGTACAAAGTCCATTTTTTGTACCACCCATTGAATGACTTTTACTGGATTGCTAAGAAAGACTCACTCCTACGGAACATATCCGATCTCTCTTTGCTATTTAAACAGCCATTTCGTCAAAACGGACATATTATATTTTTTGAACGAAATTAAAATTGAGTTTTCAGGCCGAAATCCGGTCCAAATTTTGGTCACAGCTTGAGACCAGATACATCTAGGGGGGCCGGCGTTCCTAGAACGCCGGACCCCTAGGAGCCAAAATTTTGGGCCGGATCTCGGCCCAAAAACTCAATTTTAATTTCATTAAAAAAATATAATATGTCCATTTTGACAAAATGGCTGCTTTTACCCTTATGATGCATTATGCAAGGACTCTGATTGAGTTACTCGCTCGAAGGGACCTTGCTCTTGAGGGGGGGGTAGTGTAATGACCCGCCATAACACAAACTGAGAACACTGCTGATTTCTGAAGTTCTGCCGATGGAATGGATGCCTTGCTGAGATTCCCACATTCTGTTGTGTTTTCTAAGTCTATATGTGTGTGTGCCTGTTGACTTGCGTGCCTGTCTGAGTACTTGTCGGCATGAGTGTGTGTGTGACCCGCAAGGGTAC